CCTGCCAGTGAGTGTCCTCTTGCTTTCCCTTTCTGGAAGTTCTGATTCTCACAAATGACTTTTCCATTTTCAGCTCCCCCCTCTGGCGCCAGGAGCCCTTCCCTCCATCCCACATGTCCTAGCCCCCGGCCCCCCGCTGGCTGGTGCAGACGCCACTTCGTCCGGGAATGCTTTCAAGCAGGAAGAAGCCCCCACCTGGACCCCACACACCTGACTCATCCCCTGCCCCCGCCCAAGACACCTGCCACTGTAACTTTACAGGTGTCTGTGGACTTGGCTTAACGCCGTTCCACACGTGAGAATTCAAGTCTGCTAAACCCAGGTTTTACTTTGAATTTATCTTTGGATCCCTCCCAGCCTGGAAGCATGGTCCATTGGCCACAATACATTCCAAGTATTTTGTGGAATAGATGAATGATCTCACTCAGGAGGCAGTTTTTGAGTCTGCATGTAGTTCTTGCCGGTCAGAGAAGGAAGAGCGTCTCGGCCATTCGGGGGAGACGTCCCTGGACAGTCACCTAGTGACTTAGCTCCAATTTTAGGCATGAAACCACAAGCCTATTTTCGTGAGGGGAGCACGTCAGAATGCTGTTTTGCAGTCTTTCCTGTAATTGCACAAACCAGGGTGGTTATCTAGAACCCCGTTTTCAACAGATCCCAGCTGTCAGTGTCAGTAAACACTCTACAAACCAAATGAAATGTATCGTTCACAGAAATAAAATACATTTTAGGGGCACCTGGGTGGCTCAGTCAGTGAAGCGTCTGACTCTTGATTTTGGCTCAGGTCCTCATCTCAGGGTCCTGGGATCGAGCCCCACATCGGGCTCTGCTCAGGGTGGAGTCTGCTTGTCTCTCACTCCTTCTGCCCCTCCCCCTGCATGCTAGGTCTCTCTAAAATAAATAAATCTTTAAAACAATAGGGGCACCTGGGCGGCTCAGTCAGTTAAGCGTCTGCCTTCGGCTCAGGTCATGATCCCAGGGTTCTGGGATCAAGCCCCATGTCAGGCTCTCTGCTCAGCAGGGAGCCTGCTTCTCCCCCTGCCTCTGCCTGCCGCTCTGCCTACTTGTGCTCTCTCTCTGTCTGTCTGTCAAATAAATAAATAAAATCTTTTAAAAAAATAAAATAAAATAGGGCACCTGGGTGGCTTAGTTGTTAAGCGTCTGACTTCGGCTCTGGTCATGATCCTGGGGTCCTGGGATCGAGTCCCGCATCGGGCTCCCTGCTCAGCGGGGAGTCTGCTTCTCCCTCTCCCTCTGCTGCTCCCTGCCCTGCTCGTGCTCTCTCTCTCTCTCAAATAAATAAATAAAAAACTTAAAAGAAAATAAACTGTTCTAACACTCTGTTAGTTAGCCTATTACATTCTGTATTTCTTGCACCAGCTGGATGTAAAATAAAAAATTAAAAGTACTTCAAGAAGCATGGAGAAAGTTCTATATAATCTTGGTGGGAGAAGCTATCCTAAGTATGACACAAAGTCCAGATGGCACTTTTATTAAAAAGACTTACAAATGAAATTATATTTACAAAAAATTGATTCCATACCACACAGAGAGGAAATGCATTCAGATAAATTACACACCAATTAGTGGGACATATTCAAAGGACAAAAAGAACTAGAAAGAAATATTGAACCTTACCCGGTAGGTTTATTTTCAGAAGCAGGTGCACTGGTACTATAGGGATGAGACTGTTTCGTGTTGTAGGGCAGCATCGTGAGTAAGCTCCGTCGTGTTTCGGGCACGGGGTTTTCTGCAGGAAGAGGGAGGGACAGTTGGGAAGGTGAGGAAACGCTCATGATGTCAGATGTGGATGACGACACAAAACTCGTGACACACAGAAGATACACGTGTATATATTTGAATTGCACACTTAATTTTACATCTTAAAAAGTTCTGCAGGAAAATATAATGGACAAAGACCAAAGGCCAGGGAAAAACCAAAGAAAACATTTGTAACACGCAGGCTAAGAGCTAGTTTCTCAAGTACATAAAGCGCTCCTATATATCAATTGTTTAAACCCAATAAAACACAAAGGACAAGAACAGATATTTCTCAGAAAAGACAGATGGCTTCTTAATTTATCAAAAGGGGCATCTGGCCAGCTCGGTCGATGGAGCATGGGACTCTTCATCTCGGGGTGGTGGGTTCAAGCCCCATACTGGGCATAAGAACTCACTTAAAAACAACAAAAGAAAACGAAAAACAAGTTTGACCTCACTCATCACGTTAAACAAGCAAATTAAAAACTGTGGGGAAAATCATAAATAGCTATCAAATTTAAAATTCAGATACCCTGACTCAGCAATTCCTCTTCTAAACATTTATGTTACAGACACGCCCACAAATGGATGCAAAACCAGGATTTCACTGCACACTACTTGTAGCAACAGGAGTTTGGAAATAACCGGAATGACTACCCAAAGCAGGCCATTCACCCAGCAGTGGCAGATCCATGCATGAGATGCTATGCACCTGTCACGACAAGGAGACAGTGCACACATCTTGATGCAGAAATGTTTCCAGGGTACGTTGTGAAGATTAAAAACAGGCAAGGTACTAACGTGGTGTGTCTGTGGCTAGTCTCAGTTCCTTTATACAAAAGCACATAGATAAATATAAAAGTATGTACACTTCATTTACACAACGAACAGATCTGGGGAATTAATAAAAAAACGACTGGTTGCTTCTGGGAAAGGAAATGGGGAGACTTGATGGAGGTGGTCACTTTTTACTTGTGCTCTGTTGAGCTTTTCAGATTTTATTAACCTACTTAAAAGTAATTATTTAATTTCAAAACAGCTTCTTCACAAGAAAAATGCAACTCAAAAAAATTTTAAAGATTTATATATTTATTTTAGAGAAAGAGAGAGAGAGAACACGAATGGGAGAAGCAGAGGGAGAAGCAGACTCTTTGCTGAGCACGGAGCCGGACTCAGGGCTTGATCCCATGACCCTGAGATCATGATCCCGAGATCACGACCTGAGCTGAAACCAAGAGTTGGACGCTCAATCGACTGCGCCACCCAGGCGCCCCACAACTTAAAATGTTTAAGTGAAGATTAAAAATTGGGAACATAAGTGTAAAAAACATAACATCCAATAAAATATTAAAAATGGATAAAATTGGTGCTCATTTTTCCCTTGACCAGCCGTCGTAGTTGCCGGGCCGTCTTCAGACACGTAAGCACAGGTGGGTCCCGTTGCAGGAGAAGACAGACCCCATCACTAATGGAAGACATACAGGTTCGGGCACCATCAGAAAACACGACACTATCAAAGATAAAAACGGATAAAACTGGAGTTTATGAGATGGTTCTGCTCGTTCAGATGGTGTCTGAGCACTTTTCCCCAAACGAGGTTGACACGCACCTGCCGAGAGACTCTGAGGTTCCCATCCTACCTGCTGTTTGCATGCCAGCCCCTAACAGAGAAGAGGGAGCAAGAGGAAGGGGGGGCGTGCGGGGAGCATTTCAACTTATCAAGATTCCAGCACCAGCAATGTATTTTTTATTGGGAGTTAGAGGCTTTTAGGGAAAGTGGTAATTGGGGGGGGGAATGTGGTTTTGTTCTTCCTATAAAGCTACCTGGGGGGTGCCTGGGTGGCTCAGTTGGTTAAGCGACTGCCTTTGGCTCAGGTCATGATCCTGGAGTCCTGGGATCGAGTCCCGCATTGGGCTCCCTGCTCTGCGGGGAGTCTGCTTCTCCCTCTGACCCTCTTCCCTCTCATGCTCTCTATCTCTCATTCTCTCTTTCTCAAATAAATAAATAAAATCTTTTAAAAAAGCTACCTGGGAATATATAACAGGTATTTAAAATCATTCTTTGATCCTTCTACCTTGATGTCAAAAACCCCCATGTTCATATCAATGTTATTTATAATAACGGAAACATGAGAAATAGGTTGAAACTTTATTTTGTTTTCTAAAACACACGGGTGGAGACCATGCTAATTCTAACAGGTGAAATAACAATGAATGAAAAGCAGAATACCGGACACTAGATACACACCTGTTGCAAGAATACTGGACACTAGATAAACATTTGCCGCCGGAACACCAGGTGGTAGATACACACTCGCCACAGGAACACCGGGTGCTAGATACACAATTGCTGTTGCTGCAACAATACCGGACAGTAGATACACACTCGGCACAAGAACACTGGGCGATAGATAAACCGTTGCTGCAAGAATACCGGGTGGTAGATACACACT